GTTTTGGATTGCTAGCTATTGGGGGGGGGACGTGCAGATCTGTCCTCGCAGAGGAGGGAGAGCTTGTACCTGAATAAAACATGGTCTTAAATGTGCCACTGGACTGTTTTGGACTGGGGGGGGGCTCTGCAGCTTACCTGGCTGCTTCTTGCTCTGACTGAGGGCTGCTGGGAGCAGGGGGTGGGGCTTGTTGCATGTGCCCGCCCCCTGGGCTCTTTACTGCCAGAGCTCCGCTCCTGTGTGCTCCTGCAGGAAATGAACCCTGCGTGCGTGCAATAAAATGAAATGCCAGGTACCGGAGATATAAACTTTATAAAGGACATAGGCAAACACAACGATATTTTCATTCAAAGTGTTGTTGCTGTTCAGTCGCACAGTCGAGCCCGACTCTTCGCGGCCCCGTGGACCGCATCACGCCAGGCCCTCCTGTCTTCTGCCGTCCTCCGGAGTTTGCTCAATTTCATGTCCGTTGCCTCGATCACACTGTCCAGCCACCTCATCCTTTGCCGCCCCCTTCTTCTTTGTGCTTCAGTCTTTCCCAGCATCAAATAAAATATAAATGTGCTCAAAACATTAGCACTCTTACAGTATTTCCTTAAGTTGCCTCCCTGATGCCCACCCTCCCACTTCTACTGGAGAGCCAGTTTGGTGTCATGCTGAAGTGTGCGGACTCTAATCTGGGAGAACCGGGTTTGTTTCTCCACTCCTCCACTTGCAGCTGCTGGATGACCTTGGGCAAGCCACAGTTCTGTCAGAGCTGTTCTGAAAAAGAGCCATTTCTGTCAGGAGCTCTCTCAGTCCCACCTACCTCACAGGGTGTCTGTTGTGGGGAGGGGAAGGGAAAGGAGTTTGTAAGCCGCTCTGAGACACCTTTGGGTAGTGAAGGGCGGGGTATAAATCCAATCTCTTTCTTCTTCTACTGCCCATTACTCAGTAGCACTGGGACAGTTTACAGGGACATAATGCACAGCCTCTGTCATCTGGCAATAAAGGTAATGACCAGTTGCTCATGGGCCAGCTAAGAGACTGGGATGGGCCACTTCCGGCCCGTGGGTTGTATGTTTGACACCCCTGCTCCAAGGCATTATACCCCCCCCCCGCTGAGGTCCCTCCCCTCTCCAAACCCCGCCTTCCCCGGGCTCCACCCCCAAATCTCCAAGAACTGTTCCTCTGCGCCTGAATTTGTGATCTTGGTTTCCAAGTTCAGTCCTTAAGGATGGGCGGTATTAGGAGTGTCTGAGCATGTGCAGAGTGCCTTTGCGTCAACATTTCCCCCCCGTGTCTCCCCCTCCCGCTCATCGTCGTCTCCTTTTCCTTCCCGTCCACTGCAGCCTTCACGTTCTTCGACCCCAACGACCCGGCGTGTCAGGAAATCCTGTACGACCCCATCACCACCGTCCCCGAACTCTTTGCGATCATCCGCCAGTGGGTACCCCAGGTCCAGCACAAGATCGACATAATTGGTACCGAGGTGAGTGGCGGAGGGGTGGGTGTAGGGTTGCCGCCCTCCAGGCGAGGCCTGGAGCTCTCCTGGGAGTATAACTGAGGACAGAGATCAGTTCCCCTGGAGAAAATGGCCGCTTCAGGCGATGGACTGTACGGCCTCACATCCCTGCCACGCTTCTGCCTGCGCCCAAATCTCACCTTTCCCGGGCTCCACCCCCAAATCTCCAGGAATTTCCCAGCGCAGAATTGGCAACCCTGCCAGTTCTCTGTTCCCAGGAGAGGCATTGAGGGTGAGGCTGACAGCCCAGGGGTACCACTGCACAACTCCCAAGCGTGGCAATAACCATAATTTCTTCTACTGGTCTGTATTTCATTTCCCAACTAGCACATGTGGGTCCCTTTCTCTGAGTCAAACCACCGGTCTTGATTCAGGGCCTCCACGGAAATTTAAAGAGCTTAACCTGTTTCCTACCTTCAGTTTTTTAATTCAACCCCATCTACATTAAGTATAACTACAAATATTGCACGCAAGATTGCTTGCTTGTATGTTGAATCATGACAAACGATTTAAGAACCCATTTCAATTGTCAACGTAACCAATGACCAATGCGTAGTACATCTTGTGATCTGGATGTCATGCCTCTGTTGATATACACCCCAGACTGTATTAGCCTTTTCTGACGCTGCATCACACTGACTGCTCCTATTTAACTTACAGTCCACCCATACCCCAAGATCTTGTTCGCACACACTGCTACCCAGAAGCGTATCCCCCATCATAAGAATATCAGAAGAGCCCTGCCGGATCAGACCAGTGGTCCATCTAGTCCAGCATCCTGTCTCACACAATGTCCCACCAGTTCCAGCATGCGTGCTTCTCATTTTTGTTACCTGAACTTCTGAAGCAAAACGAGTTCTACATTTTTTCTCAAATGTACAGATAATTACTGAATTTGACTGGGAAAAGTAGGTTATCATCAGGGCTCTTTTTGTAGAAAAAGCCCAGCAGGAACTCATTAGCATAATAGGCCACACCCAACAGCAAAACTCATTAGCATATTAGGCCACACCCTGACAGCACCGCTCATTCGCACATTAGGACACACCCCCATGTTACCAGAAGTCTGGTCATCCAGCCACACCCACCTTTTGCTTGTTATTCTGTTTACCTTGTTTGTTGTCAAAACCCAGGGCTTTTTTTGGAGCAGGAACTCCTTTGCATGTTAGGCCACACACCCCTAATGTAGCCAATCCTAATGAGTTTCTGCTGTTGGGTGTGGCCTGTTATGCTAATGAGTTCCTGCTGGGCGTGGCCAACTCGGGAGCCAGCCGGAACTCCATTCCTGTGCGTTCCGGCCCAAAAATAGCCCTGCTCAAATGTCTCTCAAAAGCCAAATGCAATTCCAAAGTCACAGCTTTTGGTCTTTGGTCTGCCCAAAAGAAATAAGCTGTGCTTTGACTCGTCGCTGTCTTGCTATATCTCCTCCTCCAGATCTTGAAGCGTGGCTGCCATGTCAACGACCGGGACGGCCTGACTGATATGACCTTACTTCACTACGCTTGCAAAGCGGGAGCCCATGGTGTTGGTAAGCGGGTGCAGAGCCACGTTCGAATTCTGGGGTGGTGGTGTGTGCCAGGACCTCTTGATCAAATCTCTTGGGGGACCTGCTTTTAAGTTTGACCTTAGTCCACTTTTGAAACCTGATTCCTTTAAAGCGGGGCCTTTTGACCCTGTGGGCACCTTTGGAATTTTGAGAGGGGAGGGCGCGCTCCACTCCGCGATGGCGGCCAAAGAAGGCGGAGCCAAACCCAGAATGGCTGCTACAGGAGGAGGAGCCAAATGTAATATTTCCTTCCTGGTTTACAATAGAAGAGGAGCTGCGGTGGCTCAAGTGGTTAAGACGCTGAACTGCAGGCTGTGGAAGGTCAGTAGTTCAGCTGTCTGAGACCCAGGGGTGCCACATGACGGAGTGAGCTCCCGTCTCTAGTTCCAGCTCCTGCCAACCTAGCAGTTCGAAAGCAAGACATTGCAAGTTGATAAATAGGTACCACTTCGGTGGGAAGGTAACAGCGTTTCATGCACCTTGGTGTTTAGTCATGCCGGCCACATGACCATGGAAACGTCTTTGGACAGCGCTGGCTCTTCGGCTTTGAAACGGAGATGAGCGCCGCAACCCTAGAGTCGGACTCGACTGGCTTTCGAGCAAGGGAGACCTTTACCTTTCAATAGAACCACAGAACAAAAGGAAATGAAGGAAAGTCCAAGGGGAGGAAGGGAAAAGAAAAGATGGAATAAAAAGAAGGAAAAGTGTGAAGGGGAGGTGGAACCACACATTGAGTCAGGAAAGCACAGAGGCCAATTACACAATGGCAGCACCGAACATGGGAACATTTTATAATGCAAAAAGTCTCATTTAATGTACGGAACGCATCGCCAGAGAATTACAACAAAAAGATAGTCGCCGTACGGTGCCATCGTAAGTTTTATGCTTGAAAAAGAGATTATCCGGAATAGCCCGCAGAATAAAAATATGATTTATTTTTGAGGGTTTTTTTAAAAAAAAAATTAATGTATTTTGTTTAATGGAAAAGTCAAGGCTATGGTAAGCAAAATGGTTGAAATGTAACAATGGAGGGACCTATATGTTGAAAACCAGTGTACGGACATCATGTTAGGAGTATGTATATGCTTAAAGCCAATGTATAAATATATTAGGGGCTGCGGTGGTTCAGAGGTTAAAGACGCTGAGCTGCAGACCAGAAGGTCGGTAGTTTGGCAGTTCGAGACCCGAGTGCCGCGTGACGGAGTGAGCTCCCGTCTCTGGCCCCAGCTCCTGCCAACCTAGCAGTTCGAAAGCAAGAAATTACAAGTAGATAAATAGGTACCGCTTCAGTGGGAAGGTAACAGCGTTCCGTGCGCCTCGGTGTCTAGTCATGCGGGCTCTTTTTGTAGCAGGAACTCCTTTGCATATTAGGCGACACCCCCCCTAATGTAGCCAATCCTCCAAGAGCTTACAGAGCTCTTCTTACAGGGGCTCCTGTAAGCTCTTGGACTACCCGATCCTAATAGTGACTGCGGCTGTTATTGCAGAGAAAAACCCTTTCATTTGAATGAGGCTAGCTAATAAGCAGCCCTGCCTTACAATGGCCGTGTGCCCACCTTCTGAAGAGCTCAGCGGGCGCCAGAGAAAGTATGGGTGGGCGCCATGGGCGCCGTGTTGGGGAACCCTGCTTCAAAGTCTCTTTGTTCTGGGCTGTTTCAGGTGAACTGCAGTTATCCCCCAAAGGATTGTATGTTCTGTTCCGGCAAAGGTTTAGTTCATCTAGCTGCCTTCACTTTCTCTCCCTCCCCTGTTGTCCAGGTGACCCGGCTGCCGCTGTGCGTCTCTCTAACCAGCTGCTGGCTTTGGGCGCCGACGTTACCCTGCGCAGCCGCTGGACCAACATGAACGCCCTCCATTATGCTGCCTACTTTGACGTCCCGGAACTCATCCGGATCCTCCTGAAAGCCTCTAAGCCGAAAGGTGCGGGGGTTGGTTGAAGGGCGAGGGGGTGGAGCCAGGGCTATTTTTGGGCAGGAACGCACAGGAACGGAGTTCCGGCTGGCTCCCAAGTTGGCCACACCCAGCAGGAACTCATTACCATAATAGGCCACACCCAACGGCAGGAACTCATTAGGATTGGCTACCTTAGGGGTGTGTGGCCTAACACGCAAAGGAGTTCCTGCTCCAAAAAAAGGCCAAAGTCGCCGTTTGTCCCAGGGGAACTAATGTTGGTCGTCTAGAGATCAGTTGTAATAGCCGGAGATCTGCAGCGACGTCTCCTCTGTGGAGTCTTGTGTGCAAAAAGTCTACTTTGTGAGCTGCCGGCATTAAAGTTGTGAGTGAGCGATTTGGCCGCTGCATTGCTTAGTTTGCTCTAGAGCCCTCCTTCCTGAGCGGAGAGAAAAATGTGTGAGACGGAGGCTAAGAAACTGTGAGCTAGATCACACTAACTCAGCTTAGAGGGAACACTGGCGGCTGCATAAATTAGTTTGCTCTGGAGCCCTCCTCCCTGAGCGAAGACAAAAAACGTGTGAGCCGGGGGCTAAAACACTGCGAGCTGGCTCACGCTAACTCAGCTTAGAGGGAACACTAGCTGCTGCATCAGTTAGTTTGCTCTGGAGCCCTCCTCCCTGAGCTAAGACAAAAAGGTGTGAGCCGGGGGCTAAAACGCTGTGTGCTGGCTCACGCTAACTCGGCTTAGAGGGAACACTGATCTCCAGGTGCCGCCTGGAGGCTGGCAACCCTACTTATGACTGTGGGACAGTGTGCACTGGGGTTATGGGGATGGTCTGTTTATTGATCAAGTTCTGTGCAAATTGTTGGAAGTATTTTGTTCCCTGAAGGGGCTTTGTATGCTGCCCTTTGTGGTCACCTTCAGCTGATGTGGTTGGTAGGAAAAGCGAGGGCCAAATGTTCATAAGTCCCCTGTCCTGGATAGCCCAAGTAAGCCTGATCTCTTCAGATCTCGGAAGCTCAGCAGGGTCGACTCTGGCAAGTACTTGGGATGGGAGACCTCCAAGGAATACCAGCAGTCGGGAGGTGGGGGCAGGCTTCATTCAGCCACCTCTCTGGATATCCTCCAGGCCCCCAGTAGGGGTCGGTCACCAGAGGTCGCCCTGCGCACACACTGGCACATGCATGAAAAAGACAAAAAAAAAAAAAGACCAAAGCTAGAGAAAAAAATATTTTAACAAGCAAAGAAACAAGTGTTGTAAGCAATGCTCCCTCTAAGCTGTGGATTCTTGTGAGCAAAAAATCCTACTTTGTGAGCTGCCGGCATTAATATTGTGAGCGAGCCATTTGGCTACTGGACAGATTAGTTTGCTCTGGAGCCTGAGCTGAGACAAAAAACATGTGAGCCGGAGGCTAAAAAACTGAGCTGGCTCACACTAACTCACCTTAGAGGGAACATTGGTTGTAAGGCTGTTAATTCGTTTTTAAAAATGGACGATCTGCCTTACCCGAAAAAATCCAGGCTGGCCTAACCATAGCAAGACATTAAAAACAATTAAAATAAATTTAAAATTCTTGCTTTGGGAGAACTTTGCTGGAAGGGTGGAGCTCCAGCCGAGGCTAAGGGAGGGGTGGGACCTGGGGAGGGCGAGGTCTGGGGATTCCAGCAGGGTAGAGTGGCGTTGAGTCCACCCTCCAAAGCAGCCATTTTCTCCAGAGGAGCAGAATTCTGTCGCCTTGGCGATCTCCAGGCACCACCTGGGTGTTGGCAACCCTACCATCTGTTCGGTCCTGCGGCACTGAAAGGACCTCTGCCTGTAACATGTCCCACCTGAGACATGAATCTGCCTTCTACTGAATCAGATCCTCAGTCCGTCAAGGTTAGTATTGTCTACTCAGACTGGCAGTTGCTCGCTCTCCAGGGTCTCAGGTGGAGGTCTTTCACCTCACCTACTGCCTGGTCCTTTTGACTGGAGATGCCAGGGACTGAACCTGGGACCTTCTGAATTCCAAGCAGAGACTCCACCACTGAGCCACAGCCCCTCTTTACAGCTCTCCAGAGTCTCAGGCAGAGGTCTTTCCCATCACCTGCTGCCCGGTCCCTTTTAACTGGAGATGCCGGGAATTGAACCTGGGACCTTCTGCATGCCAAGCAGCTGCTCTACCACTGAGCCAAAGCTCCTCTTCATGGCTCTCCAGGGTCTCAGGCGTAGGTCTTTCACATCACCTCCTGCCTGGTCCTTTTAACTGGAGATGCTGGTGATTGAACCTGGGACCTTCTGCCTGCCAAGCAGAGGAACTTGTGGATCTCCTGACAAAGATATGTAATCTTTCCTTAAAATCTGCCTCCATTCCTGAGGATTGGAAGGTAGCTAATGTCACTCCCATCTTTAAAAAGGGTTCCAGAGGAGATCCGGGAAATTACAGGCCAGTCAGTCTGACGTCGATACCGGGTAAATTGGTGGAAACCATTATTAAGGAAAGAATTAGTAGGCACATAGATGAACAAAACCTATTGAGGCAGACTCAACATGGGTTCTGTAAGGGAAGATCTTGTCTCACTAACCTATTAGTGTTCTTTGAGGGGGTGAACAAACATGTGGACAAGGGGGATCCAATAGATATTATTTACCTTGACTTCCAGAAAGCTTTTGATAAAGTTCCTCATCAAAGGCTCATAAGTAAGCTCAAAAATCATGGGATAAAAGGACAAGTCCTTTTATGGATCAAAAACTGGCTAGTTCATAGAAAACAGAGAGTACACTTCCTCAGATACTTCTGCTGGTCTGAAAGGTGCCGCTGGCCTCTAACTTTGTTCTGTCGCTTCAGACCAACACGGTTGCCCCACCTGGATCTATAACATCTCTCTAATGTGTTTTTGATTGCAAGCTGTTTTGGTTCCTGCTTTGTGGGAGGAAGGGGGGACTAAAATCATTTCGAAATAGATATAATTTTGATTTTTTTTAAAAAGGAAGGAAGCGGGCTTGCAAATGTATACGAGTTTGAATCGAGCCGTGCAGTGAGCTGCCCTTCGAAAGAAGTTAAGTCGCCGAAGCAGAGACTGAAGCAGACGGCTGCTTTCTCCTCGCTACCTTGTGGGAATTTGTTCCCCTGCTTTAGCAACCTCGTTGTGTGCTTCAAGTATACACAAGAGCTCCCTGCTAGCTTCGGCGCTCTCTGCAGCGTCCCAGTCCTTGGAGAGAAAGCGGAGCGTGCGCGGTGCCGCTTTCGCCTGAGGACCTGTTGTCTATAAGGCAGAGCTCAGCTCTGAAACATTGCAGAGATCGGTGTGGTGCACTGGCTGGGTTCCCCAACGTGGCTCCCATGGGCGCCACAGCTCCCTACCCACACCTTTTCTGGTGTCCACCAGCTGATTTTAGGAAGTGGGACCAGGTCAGGCTTTTGCTCAGCAAGGCTTCTGATGGCATCCGGGGATTTTTTTTTTTGCACTGCTGGTCGTTAACAGAGGCATATACACTCATAGTCTGAGCCAGGGCTATTTTGGGGGCAGGAACGCACAGGAACGGAGTTCCGGCTGGCTCCCGAGTTGGCCACGCCCAGCAGGAACTCATCAGCATAATAGGCCACACCTAACAGCAGAAACTCATTAGGATTGGCTTCATTAGGGGTGTGTGGCCTAACATGCAAAGAAGTTCCTGCTACAAAGAAAGCCCTGGGTTTTGACAACAAGGTAAACAGAATAAGAAGCAAAAGGTGGGTGTGGCTGGATGACCACACTTCTGGTAACATGGGGGTGTGGCCTAATATGCTAATATGCTGTACTGTCAAGGGTGTGGCCTAATATGCTAATAGGTGTTTGCTGTTGGGTGTGGCCTATTATGCTAATGAGTTCCTGCTGGGCTTTTTCTACAAAAAAAGCCCTTCATAAGCGTCCAGAAACTTGCAATAAGGTGCCTGAGGGAACGGGAAGATTTGTGGTATGGATCTGCTCTGCACTGTTCTGCTTTGGATTTTGTCTCTCCCACCTTCTCCCAACCGTGAGCCAAGCGGGCCTCTAAATACATTGGGATTATTAAAACGTTGGACGGAAATCGAACCCGGCACCTCAGTACGGGTTCTGTTTCGTGTGCTATATTTATGGGGTGCACCCCTCTTCTTGGACGGTTCCCGGGGGCAGAGAGGCACTCTGCACATCCTCCAAACGCTAAAACGTGTCAGTCAGGGCTCTTTTTGTAGAAAAAGCCCAGCAGGGACTCATTAGCATAATAGGCCA